GTACGCCCGGAGCTTGTGTGGTTGACATGACCTTTTTGTAGGATCGGAGCTTGAGCGGTCGCAGGGCCTCGCCACATGTATGATGAAACGCCTCCCGGTGTGTGTGTGCATCTAGCTTTTTTTAATGCCAGAGCGTCCAGGGCGGTGGATGTATACGATATAGATAGATAGATAGATAGATAGATAGATAGATAGATAGATAGATATACACATCCACTGCCCTGGCCGCTCCGGTATAAAAAAAAGCTCGCATGCACACACACACATGCACACACACGCACACACTGGGCAAAATCTCGAAAGAACTTTTCTGCACGCCGAGGGAGCGGGATCGGTGGGGCGCGTATCACTGTCGTTCCGTTCGGACGCCACTGCGCAGAGCAGCACTCTGTGTTCTTTGCGGCACTGGATTCCACACAGGAGGGAGAGAGAGAGAGAGAGAGAGAGAGAGAGAGAGAGAGAGAGAGAGAGAGAGAGAGAGAGAGAGAGAGGACAAATCAGGGGGGGAGATGGTTGCGACCATGGCGTGGAGGGAGATCATACGTGGCGACGCCGTGAACTGCTTCGAGCAAGTGCATGTTCGCGGCGTGTGGTTGGACAGGAACCAGGACGCTTTCAGGGAAGAGATTACGAGGAGGACCACGCGAGTGTACTCCGTGGATGTCAACGGCCTACCCGGTGTAAACCTCGATGTCGCTCTTGGTTACGCGGGGGACTTGCTGAGCTATGTCCTCATATGGGTGACGAAGCTCGCGGACGACATACCGGACGACTGGAGTACGCTGCAGCACGACATCGTCGGGGACATCGTCCTGAAGAGTGTGGAGTACCTGGCGGTGGAGCAGGTGGAGCGACTGGACATGGGGGCATTCTACCACACCTTCCTCGATTGGCCGCTCGTCGGGCGGAGGTATCTCCACGGCGAGATCAGGTTGTAGTCGGGAATCGTGGTGTTGGTGTGTTGATGGTGCTGCTCTTGTGTAGATTAGACGTAGGCAGTATGGGTATTCGGGGGTGATCGTTGATGGGATTCGCAGTTACGCGAACGGAACTGCGCGATGCGGTTTTTTAATGATGCTGCACTCGTCTTCTCACGGTATTTTTAGTCTTTTTTTTTTTTTTTTTTTTTTTGGTCGTGCTTGATTGGTTTTGTTTGTCACCCAATGATGGGACCATCGGGACGTGCACACGGGCTTCATGGGTTTTCCCTTACATAGTCGTTCCTTCGTGGTTCCCACATGGTGACTGTTCGCGGTGGAGGGAGAGACAGGCAAAAAGACGATTGTAATTGGATTGTGTTGTTGTTGTCTGCTTTGCCGTGATCTGCACACTGGCGATTTTTTGATATTAGGGTATTGTGATTGGTCGCAGTGGAGGGTGGTGACATGAACAGTACTGCATTATGGCATTCCGGTTTTGAACTATGGTTTTCCGGCGGTTATGGGAACTTGCTTTGTCTGTCGTCCCTTTTTGCTCTGTTCATGAATGAGAAACGCAATTCGAAACTTTCTTTGCAATTGTGTCTCTGTCCCTCTCCCTCCCTCTCCCTCTCCCATTAACCTTGTTGTGTTTGTGATTCTGAAACTATGATTTCATTGGGATTTTCACTCCCTCCCTCTCCCATGCCTGTTGTGTCCATATATACAAACTTTCATTGCAATTGATCACACACACACACACACACACACACACACACACGTGTGCGTGTCTGTGTGTGTGTGTGTGTGTGCGTGCGTGTGTGTGTGTGTGTGTGTGTGTGTGTGTGTGTGTGTGTGTGTGTGTGAGAGAGAGAGAGAGAGAGAGACTTCTCAAAGAAAGTCTGTAATCATTGTTATGGAACGCACCGGGCACAAGAGTTCAAAAAAAAA